CATCTAGGTTTTTCTCCGTTTTCTAAATAGCTCTTGTTCTTCTTTATTTCTTCTATTGTCTATGGGGGAGTGGAAAAGAATCTTTCCTCCGTAAGCCATGCGTGTCACATGAGGTGACTAAAATGCCAGGAGCAATGGGCTAGTAACCCCTTCTCCTGTAAACATTTACTAAAAAAGAGAAGAAGAAAAACTTTATAAAACTGGGATGCTTGAATGTGTGTGGATGTAGTGCAGATGACAAGAAACAGATGATTGCTGATGTTATGAATGAAAAGAAGTTGGATGTCCTGGCCCTAAGCGAAATAAAGCTGAAGGGGGTAGGCGAGTTTCAGTGGGGGGAAATAAATGGGATTAAATCTGGAGTATCTGAGAGAGTTAGAGCTAAGGAAGGGGTAGCAATAATGTTAAGGATCAGTTAAGGAAGGAGAAAAGAGAATATGAATGTGTAAATTCAAGGATTATGTGGATTAAAGTAAAGGTTTGGATTGAGAAAAGTGGATCATAATAAGCGTGTATGCACCTGGAGAGAGAGGAATGTAGAGGAGAGAGAAGAGATTTTGGGAGATGCTAAGTGAATGTATAGGAACCTTTGAACCAAGTGAGAGAGTAATTGTGGTAGGGGACCTGAATGCTAAAGTAGGAGAAACTTTTAGAGAGGGTGTGGTAGGTAAGTTTGGGGTGCCAGGTGTAAATAATAATGGGAGCCCTTTGATTGAACTTTATATAGAAAGGGGTTTAGTTATAGGTAACACATATTTTAAGAAAAAGAGGATAAATAAGTGTACAAGATATGATGTAGGGCAAAATGACAGTAGTTTGTTGGATTATGTATTGGTAGATAAAAGACTGTTGAGTAGACTTCAGGATGTACATGTTTATAGAGGGGCCACAGATATATCAGATCACTTTTTAGTTGTAGCTACACTGAGGGTAAAAGGTAGATGGGATACAAGGAGAATAGAAGCATCAGGGAAGAGAGAGGTGAAGGTTTATAAACTAAAAGAGGAGGCAGTTAGGGTAAGATATAAACAGCTATTGGAGGATAGATGGGCTAATGAGAGCATAGGCAATGGGGTCGAAGAGGTATGGAGTAGGTTTAAAAATGTAGTGTTAGAGTGTTCAGCAGAAGTTTGTGGTTACAGGAAGGTGGGTGAGGGAGGGAAGAGGAGTGATTGGTGGAATGATGATGTAAAGAGAGTAGTAAGGGAGAAAAAGTTAGCATATGAGAAGCTTTTATAAAGTAGAAGTGATGCAAGGAGGGAAGAGTATATGGAGAAAAGGAGAGAGTTTAAGAGAGTGGTGAAGCAATGTAAAAAGAGAGCAAATGAGAGAGTGGGTGAGATGTTATCAACAAATTTTGTTGAAAATAAGAAAAAGTTTTGGAGTGAGATTAACAAGTTGAGGAAGCCTGGAGAACAAATGGATTTGTCAGTTAAAAATAGGAGAGGAGAGTTATTAAAGGGAGGGTTAGAGGTATTGGGAAGATGGAGGGAATATTTTGAGGAATTGTTAAATGTTGATGAAGATAGGGAAGCTGTGGTTTCATGTATAGGGCAAGGAGGAATAACATCTTGTAGGAGTGAGGAAGAGTCAGTTGTGAGTGTGGGGGAAGTTTGTGAGGCAGTAGGTAAAATGAAAGGGAGTAAGGCAGCTGGGATTGATGGGATGAAGATAGAAATGTTAAAAGCAGGTGGGGATATAGTTTTGGAGTGGTTGGTGCTATTATTTAATAAATGTATGGAAGAGGGTAAGGTACCAAGGGATTGGCAGAGAGCATGCATAGTTCCTTTGTATAAAGGCAAAGGGGACAAAAGAGAGTGCAAAAAATGTAGGGGGATAAGTCTGTTGAGTATACCTGGTAAAGTGTATTTTAGAGCTATTATTGAAAGAATTAAGAGTAAGATGGAGAATAGGATAGCAGATGAACAAGGAGGCTTTAGGAAAGGTAGGGGGTGTGTGGACCAGGTGTTTACAGTGAAACATATAAGTGAACAATATTTAGATAAGGCTAAAGAGGTTTTTGTGGCATTTATGGATTTGGAAAAGGTGTATGACAGAGTGGATAGGAGGGCAATGTGGCAGATGTTGCAGGTGTATGGTATAGGAGGTAGGTTACTGAAAGCAGTGAAGAGTTTTTACGAGGATAATGAGGCGCCAGTTAGAGTATGTAGGAAAGTGGGAGATTATTTCCCAGTAAAAGTAGGCCTTAGACAAGGATGTGTGATGTCACCATGGTTATTTAATATATTTATAGATGGGGTTGTAAGAGAAGTAAATGCGAGGGTCTTGGCAAGAGGCGTGGAGTTAAAAGATAAAGAATCACACATAAAGTGGGAGTTGTCACAGTTGCTCTTTGCTGATGACACTGTGCTCTTGGGAGATTCTGAAAAGAATTTGCAGAGGTTGGTGGATGAATTTGGTAGGGTATGTAAAAGAAGAAAATTAAAAGTGAATACAGGAAAGAGTAAGGTTATGAGGATAACAAAAAGATTAGGTGATGAAAGATTGGATATCAGATTGGAGGGAGAGAGTATGGAGGAGGTGAATGTATTCAGATATTTGGGAGTGGACATGTCAGCGGATGGGTCTATGAAAGAAGAGGTGAATTATAGAATTGATGAGAGGAAAAGGGGTGAGCGGTGCACTTAGGAGTCTGTGGAGACAAAGAACTTTGTCCTTGGAGGCAAAGAGGGGAATGTATGAGAGTATAGTTTTACCAACGTTCTTATATGGGTTGTGAAGCATGGGTGATGAATGTTGCAGCGAGGAGAAGGCTGGAGGCAGTGGAGATGTCATGTCTGAGGGCAATGTGTGGTGTGAATATAATGCAGAAAATTCGTAGTTTGGAAGTTAGGAGGAGGTGCGGGATTGCCAAAACTGTTGTCCAGAGGGCTGAGGAAGGGTTGTTGAGGTGGTTCAGACATGTAGAGAGAATGGAGCGAAACAGAATGACTTCAAGAGTGTATCAGTCTGTAGTGGAAGGAAGGCGGGGTAGGGGTCAGCCTAGGAAAAATTGGAGGGAGGGGGTAAAGGAGGTTTTGTGTGCGAGGGGCTTGGACTTCCAGCGGGCATGCGTGAACGTGTTTGACAGGAGTGAATGGAGACAAATGGTTTTTAATACTTGACGTGCTGTTGGAGTGTGAGCAAAGTAACATTTATGAAGAGATTCAGGGAAACCGGCAGGCTGGATTTGAGTCCTGGAGATGGGAAGTACAGTGCCTGCACTCTGAAGGAGGGGTGTTAATGTTGCAGTTTAAAAAACTGTGGTGTAAAGCACCCTTCTGGCAAGACAGTGATGGAGTGAATGATGGTTAAAGTTTTTCTTTTTTGGGCCACCCTGCCTTGGTGGGAATCGGCCAGTGTGCTAATAAAAATAAAAATGTGTAGATTACCTAGGATTACCCCAAAAAGTCAGACAAAGTGACTTATTTGCATGTGGGTGGTGGGGAAGACAGCACAGTTGGTGAGGGCGACAGTGTGGGTAGTGGGGAGAGCAGTGTGGGTAGTGAGGTAGGGAGCGTCTGTGGTGGGGAAGACAGCGTGGGTTTGTGTAAACAACATGGCTGGCCAACGGCTGGCTGATTGACTTCGGCTGTTTCTTATCTCCGTCTGTTTGTCTGTATCTATATCTGTCTCTGTCTCACAGGTACACTGGCAAGTAATACATGCGTCGTGTGTAATACCTGTTGGTTCACGAGTGGCACTCTCTGAGACAGTGAGAGAGAGACAAGCAGAGAGACAGAAAGAGAGACAAGCAGACAGAGAGAAAGACAGATAAGCAGAGACAGAGATAAACAGAGAGCTAGATAGACAGACAGACAGAGAGCTAGACAGAGTGGCATCGTAAGGGGGGGGCAAGCTGCCGCAGGTGACACCATTTAGGGGGTGACACCATAGAGCCTCTAAACAGTGCTGCACCAATATAAGAGAAGAATCCTTCATTTCTATATAGGCTATTATATATTAACAAAGTACAAGTAAGCCAATATAGGGAAAATCATTGATTTTAATGATGTGACAGATGATTTCGCAGGATTGAAGGCAGATTCACTGAGATGTTACCTGTACACAAGGTCAAATCGGAACTAGTGTTTCTCTGATATTGCAATGCTTTTCTTTATTTTCAAGTTTTTTTTTTTTTTTGCATTGTTGAAGATGAATAAATATAGGATCTATTGCCTGTACTCAAAGTGGTATTTGAGTTTATGTTTCCTCAATATTATTTATTTTATCATTAATAAAGTTGAGAATTATTCTCCTGCTAAACACTAGTTACTGGTCATGCAGTAGTGACGTAACTGGAGTTTACTGCCCCCATCCCCCAGACCTTGAGTTTCATGGGGGTGACACCAAAGATGCTGCCCTGGGTGACACCAGAGATTCCACCCCAGGTGTCTCCAACTCTAGCGACGCCTCTGGACAGACATGTTTATGTGGAACAGCGAAAACAAATAGAGCCAAGGTAGAGCACACTCATCAACTGTCACCACTGCTGCACTATCAGCAGTAGAGTAACACTTGTCTTACACCATGCTTCAAGTAAACTTATTATTATTATTATATACTCCCGCATATCCAAAACACTGTTGGGACCTATAAATACTATGTATATATTTCTAGACAATAGTATGTGACTAAGGTAGATGAAAATGTTCACCTGTCAATGTTTGTGTGGTTAATGTGTAGCATACAACTAGTGAATATATAAACAATATGTCTTATATTGGTCTCACAAGCCATAAAAGTTACTTGAAAAAATGAAATATTAAAAAATAAAAGAAAAAAGTAAAATAGAAGTAAATATAATATTACCGAGTGACCGGCAGTCAGCGATGTTGCTGTAAGTGGTTCACTTTCTGTCAACTTCACACCTCTATATCTCAGTAAGTATTAATTACAATTTTTTTTTGTTCTATAACACTTAGAAAAATATTCTTAAGATTTTGGTAAGAAAAAATAATATGTTTTTTTTCCGAATGTTTTTGGACCCTCACAATGAGTTCAAGATGAAGGGTCTCGATCCTGAAAAGGTTAAGGGAACATGCCCCCAATGTTCCCACCCATACCAGGAATCGAACCACAGACCTCAATGTGTAAAGTAAGTGTGCTACCAACTCAGCTAAGGGGCACTAAGCTAGAAAAAAAGTTACGTACCTTCAGGTAACAAAGACTCTCTGATGAGATGACGTAAAAGCATGGGCACTGCAGCCTCGACAATGTGGCAGAAGGCAGAGGCTTCTCAAGAAATCTCGTCACCCTTCCCGACTTGTCAACCTCAAGAATACCATGCTGGAGAGGTGAGTATAGTAAGTCCTCAACTTACAAACACAATGAGAATTTTCAGTACTGTGTATAATATCATTATTATACACAATACAGAAGGTCCCCAACATGTTCATAAGTTGAAGACTTCCTGTATTTTGAATGTTATACACAATTCGAGAGGTCCCCAATATGTTTGTAAAGTGAGGAATTCCTGTACAGCGTTCACCACCCAGGATATCATACAAATTCATTTAAACATGATACATTGTTCATAAAGTGGCTAGTAACCTCTTCTCCTGTATAAATTACTGAAGGTAAAAAAAGAAGAAGAAAAATATGAAGTTTTCTTTTTTAAGTCGTCTTGCCTTGGTGGGAGATGATCAGTATGTTGAACAAAAAAAATTGTTTATATAGAAATGGGTGAAACTTGAGAGTACATTGAAAGCTCACAAATGTGTAGCCCTGAAAAAACCATACCACAGGCGGGGATAAAACCCGTGATCAGAGAGTCATAAAACTCCAGACCGACGCGTTAGCCACTGGGTCAGCTGGTTTGTTTGCAATCGTGTCATTACAATTTCATGAGTCATGCAGACCTGCTGGTGAAATGACACTCTCCACTTCTCAGTATATTGTGCTGACACAAACAAGGATATTATAACTGGTGCAGCAAGTGAAACACACTCTTCTTAACTCAGTATAACATACTAACAAAACAAAGACACTCATCACAACTCAGTATAACATGCTAACAAAACAAGGACACTCATCACAAGTCAGTACAACATGCTAACAAAACGAAGACACTCTTAACTCAGTACATTAGAGCCCCGCTTTTTGGCGTTTCCCCTTACGGCGTTCCGCTAATACAGTGATCTCAAATTATGACCAAAACTTTCTATAAGGCAAGCGGTCTTTCAAATACGGTGCGTGCCACCTGGTTTGTTTACATTCTCCATGAGCACATCTCTCTATTAACCCTTAAACAGTCAAAACGTATATATTTGTTCTCTCGCGTAGCACCCCAAACATATATATACGCTTCATTTGTCATTCATTCAACACTGGCACAATAAGCCAGAGTCGCCTAGACATGAGAGAATGGGTGTGCGCACTCAAGTGTATGCCATATGAAAAAAATTGGGGACGCCTGGGTAACACACGCTTTTTTTTCCTATAAAAAAAATGATTTTTTTCTCAAAATAATTCAGGGTGCTATGCGAGAGAGCGTTATATATACGTTTGGACCGTTTAAGGGTTAGGTAATAATAATCACTCTTGGGCACATTAAATGTCTAATTTTACGTCAATATAGACATTTTCATTTATCCATCTATGATACTTTCTTTAAAATTATACAAGAAACATGTTACATAGCATATAAACCTGCTGTTTATATGCTATGGAGGTGTGGTTTCTGGGTAGAGGGAAAACTACATAATACTAATAATAATCACTGTTGGGCACAATAAATGAATTATTTTATGTTAATATAGACAAAGTCATTAATCCATCTATGACATTTTCTTCAAAATTATATAAGAAACATGTTACATAGCATATAAACATTTTATGTTTATATGTTATAGCATATATAGCATATAAACATTTTATGTTTATATGTTATAGCATATATAGCATATAAACATTTTATGTTTATATACTATGGAGGTGTGGTAGCTTGGTGGAGGGAAAACATTACATCACTCCCCTTAATACATAACGCTTTTGTTTACAATTCTTGTCATGAATTATTTATTACTTCTCCCTTTGTTTATGATGGCATCTAAAGGTAGTTGTTATAAATGATTCAACTCAGTAAACATGGTATGTCGATGGTATAATATGGTTCTGGGCCACATTAAATATTGTGTAGCTATGTAGGTAGGTGTAATTATGTAGCCCAGGCGGACTACATACCTACATTATTATTATAACTGATACTTATACTTATGTGTACCTGTACCTAAGTAAACTTACACACTGTGCTGGTATGCAGGTACACATTAAAATCACTAAGAGTGCCTTATTTGTCTTGAAGACGACATACTAATAATGCCGATAATAATAACACACAATAATAAACACTCTGAGGAGCATTAAATATCGTATAAAATGTTAATATAGACATTTTGCTTAATCCATCTAAATACACCCCACAGTAGAATAAATTAACATAAATATGAGATATTGTAGGTAGTAAATTGGTAGACAGCAACTGCCCAGGGAGGTACTACCGTCCTGCCAAGTGAGTGTAAAACGGAAACCTGTAATTGTTTTACATGATGGTAGGATTGATGGTGTCCATTTTTCTGTCTCATAAACATGCAAGATTTCAGGTACGTCTTGCTACTTCTACTTACAATTAGGTCACACTACACATACATGTACAAGCACATATATACACACCCCTCTGGGTTTTCTTCAATTTTCTTTCTAGTTCTTGTTCTTGTTTATTTCCTCTCATTTCCATGGGAAAGTGGAACATAATTCTTCCTCCGTAAGCCATGTGTGTTGTAAGAGGCGACTAAAATGCCAGGAGCAAGGGGCTAGTAACCCCTTCTCCTGTATGGATTACTAAATTTAAAAAGAGAAACTTTCATTTTCCTTTTAAGCCACCGTGCCTCGGTGGGATGCAGCTGGTTTGTTGAAAAAAAAAAAAATACGAGATATGGTACCCAGGTGATTTGTAGGACTTGTGGTAGCCAGGCGGCTTGTGACTTGTGGTAGCCAGGCGACTTGTAGGACTTGTGGTAGCCAGGCGACTTGTAGGACTTGTGGTAGCCAGGTGACTTGTAGGTCTTGTGGTAGCCAGGCGACTTGTAGGGCTTGTGGCAGCCAGGCGACTTGTAGTCCAACATCAGAGAAAATGTGTACACTATAATATTACTGGGGGTAACTAGAAAATTATTCCTTTCGCATGCCTTCACTCAGGGCGTCATTTCTCCTAAAAATGGTGTTACATGAGAATGGGAGTATTTCTCTTTATTTATTCTACTGTATTAACGGGGAGACAACTTGTACACAATGTAAAGTGACGAAAACCAGATGCATTCATCTGGTTTGTTTACGTTATGTGGGTGGGGGGGGCTTCCCTGCCTGGATTCCATACTTCCCAAACCTGACTTCCTACAAATAAAACCCACCTCTCACCCTACATTAAGACTACAAATATTTTAATGAATGTACTGTATATGTATTTTATCGCTCTGGGGAACTTTAATTAAATGTAGTATATTACATGTAGGTGGGGGTGGGCTGACCTGGCTGGCTACCATACCTCCCAAACCTGACTTCCTACAAATTAAATTCATCTCTCACCCTACATTAAGACTACAAATATTTTAAGGTAAGTAATGGCTGTACTGTGTGTTTATTTTACTTTTTATTGTTTTTAATGCCTAGTTCTATTGGTAACGTAATATATATATGTTAGTGTAAACTTGTTACCTGGCATTTATATGCATTTATAAGTGGGAAAAAAATGGCATTCTGCTTTCCAGTGATGTCTGCTTTCTGGCAGTAGCCTGGAACCTAACCTGCCGTATAAGTGGGGCCTTACTGTATAACAAAACAAGGAATCTAACTCTGAAATTTTCAAATCTTTGTTTCAAACACTTCATTCTAAAACAACAAATCATATAGATAAGAGAAGGTAAAGAAAATACACACTAGTAATCAGTAGTTAAGGACCCATTTGTTATATATCAATTGATGTTTCCAACACAGGTCATTTCCCACTAAGGTACCATGACCCCCCCCCAAAAAAAAAAAAAAAAAAAAGGAAGCACATTCACCATCATTCATTCAATTTCTTCTTTGCCATAAGTGTGGTGGTTTCACATTCAAAATAATCCTTATTGATAAAAATTTATACTGTTAATGTTAAGACAGTGAAGAGCTCATAAGGACTTACCAGTGATACTAACTTTTGAAACATTCTCCTCTGACACTGGAGCACTCAGTATGAGGCAGGCTCCCTTGTGCTCTTGACGGAGGGCCTCAAAATCATCTATTAGCGATTTCAGAGAAAAGGTGTCCTTCAAGAGTGTGTCTCTGTAATATAAGGGAAATTACATGTTATAATAATATAAATAATAATAATAATACTTCATGGGGAAGTGGAACAGAATTCTTCCTCCGTGAGACATACATGTTGTAAGAGGCAACTAAAATCCCGGAAGCAAGGGTCTAGTAACCCCTTCTCCTGTATACATTACCAAATTTAAAAGAAGAAACTTTTGTTTTTTCTTTTGGGTCACCCCACCTCGGTGGGATACAACCAGTTTGTTGAAAGAATAATAATAATCTTTATTTCTACAAGCACATGATACAACTTATACAGACCATAGCTGACATCAATGACATACTATATAGAAAGTCCCTGGTTATGCAGAGCATTTCCCACAACTTAGGTTATGCAACCCACACCACTTGGCTAACACCCAGGTACCTGCTTACTGCTAGGAAACATGTTGCATTATTAACACTTCCCTAGATGGTATGTGTGCTTTAAATTGTATTATGGAATTAGTTAAAAAACACTTTTAACTGTTAAAGTTATGTGACAGAAAATTCATTGAATATTCTCAGGTTCTTGGCCATCACATATTGAGGGACCCTATTTGTTCATAACCAAAAACCAGGACACTTAGCAAGATTCCTCAGCTATCCTGGGTGGCTAAACCTCCGAATTAAAAATCCCAACAAATCTTATCTTATCTTTCAGATTTGAGCCTCATCATTCAATATAAACAGCAAAAAGCAGAGTACAATACAGTAGGACCCCAGTATCCATGGGGGGGACACGTTCCAAGGACATGCTGCAGATACTACTGGACCGCGGGTACGGGGGTCCTACTGTAATATGTGATCACAACAGTGAGATAACTTTCATAACAAAATTCTACAGACACAAAATATAAAATAAAAAGAATAAGCCTACAGTTGCTCCTCGACTTATGATGGGGTTACGGTCCAGTGAACCCATCATAAGTCAAAAATGCCGTAAGCTGAATATGATATGCTAAATAAATCAGTAAATAAATAACTACTGTCACAAAATAAGCAATTAAATAATTACTGCAATTAACTAAATACCAGTATTGAAAAGTAATTAAATAAATATAGGTTAAGGACTTGCAGCCTTCATGATGGGTAATTAACTCAAGTTTCATCTCCTAAGTACCTACATTTGCACCATTGTTAAGTTGAAATATCATAAGCTGAACCATTGTAAGATGAGGAGGACTTGTACTATTCAAACTAGAGACCTGACTAACTTCCAATTTTCAAGAATTAAGAGACATTAAGAGACATCTGGGTATCTTTAATTTGTAGATGTTTCACTATCCAGTGACTATCAATTCTAAGACATAATGTGGAGTCTTTAGAAGTGCAGTCTCTCCTCTTTTAGTGATGTAGTACTGGTTTACAGACGACACGGATTTACGAAGGCCTCTCTGACCAGTATGCATACCTAAATAATGTATATTAGAGCTGATTTCCTCTATTCTTCTTATTACAATATACAGTACACTACTGCATGAACAATCAAAAATATATTATAAAATGTTATAAATGGTGTAAAGATGACATTAAAACAATATCAAAGATGGTTGACACAAACCCACTACCATTTTAGTGTGCTCCTCACTTAGTGATGAATTTGTTTATTGATGTGGTCTTGGGAACGGAACTCCGTCGTCAACCCAGATATTGCACGTGTCTAATTCTTTGTCTTGTCAGTATTGTAAACTATTCATATACTATGTACATTGTCCAATTTTTTTGAAAAATCCAGGATATTCAGCCTCCCAAACTAAGTGTCCCATATACTGAAAATCCAATGGATGGGTTTGCAGTGCATTTGGTTAAAATTTTGATGCAACTGTTACACAAATTTACTTTGAAACAGCTACAACTGTACGTTCAAAGGAAAGCTGCTTATTAGGCCAAGTATTCCATAGAGGTTACCCAGCAATGAAAATGGTGTCTTCGTTGTGATAGTTCACACCAATCATCATGCAGGCCACGGCCCCAGACCGCTCGTCGTTGCTGCATGAGCCATCACTCCGGATCTCAACCCTCCTCTGCAATGTCTCTGCCCACTGCTCATACCTGCAACAATAATAATAATAATAATAATAATAATAATACAGTGGACCCCCGGTTAACGATATTTTTTCACTCCAGAAGTATGTTCAGGTGCCAGTACTGACCGAATTTATTCCCATACATACACGTACAAACGCACTTACATAAATACACTTACATAATTGGTCGCATTCGGAGGTAATCGTTATGCGGGGTTCCACTGTAATAATAATAATGTAATATAATAATACAGTTCTAATACTATAATAAATATAATAAAAATACTGTGATGCTGTTATGTCAGCATGCTTCTGTCAAGACAGCGATTGAATAAATGACACTGAATGAGTTTCCCCATTTTTGGAGTCACCATACCTCAGTGGGAGACGGCTCTCTTAAAACAAAATCATATTTATTTACAACATTCCTAAATATTACAACTAACTGGTTAATGGTCAGTTAACACAGACTAAAGTGATTCTAGCCGATCTACCACACAGGGTGCATCACCCTAGTGTGCAAGCGTGGTCATCACTTACGGTCATTTATTTGTCTGGGGAGCAGCACAGACAATCCTGCTTTATATGCCCTGCAACTAGAGGTTGCTAGATAGGAAACAGCTTATGGCAAAGTGAAACTTTTCCCTGATATCTCCTTAGTCACTAAGTGAAGTTTCAGTGAGAAAGCCATCGCCGATTAGGGGATTACTGTTAAACGGTCCAATAAAAGTGAACTAGTGGGTTAAGAAAATGAGGAATTTGGAAAAGACATCTTCATTATTACCTTGCTTTCTGAACATATGCAAGAAAGATGTACATGCAAACTACAATGCTTTTGCTATCAGTAAGTACAGTACAGCTGGGCCCTAACTTACAATGTTCCTGGTTATGATGTTTTGCACTTATAAATGACTCACACTTCTGAAAGTAGAGATTACTTACACAGCTAAAAATAAGCAAGAAATATCTCTTCCAGTGAGCAAGACAGGATCTACATTCAAGGTAAATAATGTACATAACATAGTTAAATATTTTATTTATATTATTTAATTATTTGGTACACATTGTAGAAAAATTGTTATGTTGTAGGTATATCTGTAACTGAAAAAGTGTAATGATGGTAAGAGACTGGATAAAAATTCACAGGGGAAAAAATTAACTGAAATCAGATACAGAAAATTAGGGCTCGGGACCGAATTAATCTATTTTCTGTCGTTTGTTATGGGAAAATGTGTTCTGAGTATTAAATGTTCAGCTTTAACCCTTTGACTGTTTTGGTTATATATATAAGTCTTACGAACCAGTGTTTCAGACGTATATATATATACTCAATAATTCTAGCGGCTTCAAATCAAGCAGGAGAAAGCTGGTAGGCCCACATGTGAGAGAATGGGTCTGTGTCGTCAGTGTGCACCATATAAAAAAAATCCTGCAGCACGCAGTGCAAAATGAGAAAAAAAAAACTCTGACTGTTTTTTTGGAATAAAATGCTGAATTTGAGGTGTATTTTCGTATAGTATTTATCGTTGTATTCTTGTTTTCATGGTCTCACATGATAAAATGGAACACATTACAGAAATAGAGATGATTTTAATTAGTTTCACGATGAAAACAACTTTGAAATTGAGCTCAAAGTAGCGGAAATGTTTGATTCTTACCAATGTTCAAGAGTAAGCAAATCACACTACACGTCCAATACACGTCAACTGGGGAGTCTAATATTCTTTCACTAGTGCACTGATATTATTTATACCATTTTTACGATAATGCAGTAGTCTGCATAACAGTAAATCTTCTATCTTTTGTATGAATAAAAAATCAAAATAGAAAGCAATAGTAATATAAGAGGGGCCTAGAGACGTGACTAATGAACAGAGGATATGTTATTTTAGTGCCAAGAATGTCTACATTGTTTATTCTGGACTCTATTTTGAAACTGGCATCTTTTTTAATTTGTGTGAGATTGACCACTTTATTGGGTAGTTCAAATTGGTAAATGGGTGGTTTCTTGTACTCAATTGATAGAAAAAATGGAGTTCTAAAGAAATAGCTATGAGTTTGGTCAACTGGAACAACGGATCTGGCCAAAAATAGGGCTCAAAATCGGCGAAATCGCCGATACGTATATGTCGCCGAGACTGCTAACTTCGCAGGAGCATAATTCCGTGAGTTTTCGACCAAATTTTGTACTTTTGGTGTCCTTACCATTGGGAAAAGATTCTCTATCATTTAATAAGAAAAAATAATTTTTTTTTCTAAAAATTTTTCGACAGAATGACAGTTTCAGAAAGGGGCTTGTGACAGTCAAAGGGTTAAATGAACTTTTGAGAATGTATTAAGGTTGGAAGGTGAGGCCTTACTGTACATGCTTAACTCACAATTTCTTGTAAAGATCGTTAACAACAACAACAATGCTTGTTATTTCTGGAGTCTGGTCAAAGGTTTGAATCCAATGTGTTATAAGTGGATGGCTGCCTACTGGCAGTAAGGGCTTTGGCACACCAATAAGATGAGAGAATTCTCCACTGGTGTCGTTCCTCAGGTCCTGCTCCAATCTGTCAACAAAAACTCTATTTCAGTTCAATATTTTCTAGACGAAATAGTTACTTTTTTATTAATACATTGGCCACTTCCCACCAAGGCAGGGTGGCCCAAAAAATGAAAAACTTTCATTGTCACTCACTCCATCACTGTCTTGCCAGAGGCGTGCTCACACTACAGTTATAAAACTGCATCATTAACACCCCTCCTGCAGAGTGCAGGCACTGTACTTAAATAATAATAATAATATAATAATAATAATAATAATAATAATAATAATAATAATAATAATAATATTTTTATTTTAGCATGATACATGTTTGTACAGAGGAGTGTAACAACTGGGTGAACATGCCAAAAGCCCTTTTACATGCAGAGCATTTCGCAACTCCAGGATTCAAGTCTGAAGATGAAATAGCATACATCTATTACTGACAAATATGAACAGTACGTCAGAGATTTGCAGGGATGTTTTCATGCTTTTACTGAAACATTATTGAATTCTTTGGATGGGGGGAGGGAAGAATGCTAAACCTGCAGGGGTCATACAGCACCTGGGGAAATGGTATGCATGCACTCAGGTTTGATTCTGGGAAGGAAGACATAGGCTCCTCTCCTTAAATAAAGAGCCCTTCACCAGCATCTAGGAACCTCCCATGAGGAGCATTATTGAAACAATGTTTGGTTCCATGTAGAGTTTTATCATGGAAAATTAGTATTTCTACATTCATGGGAAAGCACTAAACCTACAGAGGTCAAACAGTGCCTAAAGAAATGAGAAGCAGTCAGGCACAACCCAAGGTAAAGAAAAGTAGGTCTAATTCCTTGGACCTGCTTTCCCGTAGCTGACACACTGAGGTTCGTGGTTCAGTTCCCGGTATGGGTAGAAACATTGGGAGTGTGTTTCCTTGAGACACCTGCTGTCCCTGTTCACCTAGCAGTAAGTAGGTACCTGGGTGTTAGCCAAGTGGTGTGGTTGGCATCCTGGGGGATAAAATTAACCTAAGTTGTAGGTTGGTGGATGAATTTGGTAGGGTATGTAAAAGAAGAAAATTAAAAGTGAATACAGGAAAGAGTAAGGTTATTTATTTATTTATTTCCAATTTGTGCACACATACAGAGGTACAAAAAAATACAGATAAGAGCAGTATGCCAAAGCCACTTATACTATGCATAGCATTACGGGCTGGCTTAAAATTAACTTAAGATTAACTAAGCAATGATTATTATTATTATTATAATCAAAAAGAAGCGCTTATGAGGGTAACAAAAAGATTAGGTGATGAAAGATTGGATATCAGATTGGAGGGAGAGAGTATGGAGGAGGTGAATGTATTCACATATTTGGGAGAGGACGTGTCAGCGGATGGGTCTATGAAAGATGAGGTGAATCACAGAATTGATGAGGGGAAAAAAGGGTGAGCGGTGCACTTAGGAGTCTGTGGAGACAAAGAACTTTGTCCTTGGAGGCAAAGAGGGGAATGTATGAGAGTATAGTTTTACCAACGCTCTTATATGGGTGTGAAGCATGGGTGATGAATGTTGCAGCGAGGAGAAGGCTGGAGGCAGTGGAGATGTCATGTCTGAGGGCAATGTGTGGTGTGAATATAATGCAGAGAATTCGTAGTTTGGAAGTTAGGAGGAGGTGTGGGATTGCCAAAACTGTTGTCCAGAGGGCTGAGGAAGGGTTGTTGAGGTGGTTCGGACATGTAGAGAGAATGGAGCGAAACAGAGTGACTTCAAGAGTGTACCAGTCTGTAGTGGAAGGAAGGCGGGGTAGGGGTCGGCCTAGGAAAGGTTGGAGGGAGGGGGTAAAGGAGGTTTTGTGTGCGAGGGGCTTGGACTTCCAGCAGGCATGTGTGAGCGTGTTTGATAGGAGTGAATGGAGACAAATGGTTTTTAATACTTGACGTGCTGTTGGAGTGTGAGCAAAGTAACATTTATGAAGGGGTTCAGAGAAACTTTCAGGCTGGACTTGAGTCCTGGAGATGGGAAGTACAGTGCTTACACTCTGAAGGAGGGGTGTTAATGTTGCAGTTTAAAAACTGTAGTGTAAAGCACCCTTCTGGCAAGACAGTGATGGAGTGAATGATGGTGAAAGTTTTTCTTTTTCGGGCCACCCTGCCTTGGTGGGAATCGGCCAGTGTGATAATAATAAAAAAAATAAAATAACTGATTGTGTTGGGAGCAGTTCGATTTTTGAGGTTCTACTGTATATCTATATTTCATCTTTAAAAAAAAAAATTTTTTGTTAATACTTTTGGGTGTCTGAAACAGATTACAGTAACTGGATTTCCATTATTTCTATGGGGAAAATTAATTTGGATACCGAAAAAATCGGTTAAAGACAAGCTCTCTGGAACGGATTAATGTCATTACCCGATGGTCCACTGTATTATCATTACTATTATTATTACATTCATGGATACAGTGTCTGGGGAACCGGAAGGCACTCAGTCTCGATCCAAGTAATTGGAGCACAGGTTCAGTACAGGTCGGCCATCATTAATCCGGCAATCATTTATCCAGTTCCATCAGTAATCCGGCACTAATTTTGGCTAGCATAATTTCCATTTCATCATTTTGCTGACTGAAATCATTATACTGTCTCAAATTTCATCATTATACTGGCTCAGAAATTGTGCAGATGGTTGTAAATCCACAGCAGCAAGCCAGTGGAGGAGAAAGCAGTGATGAAAATGAGGAAGATGTAGCAGAAAGTCTCTTTGTTGATAAGTTAAGTGTATTCTAACCTAACAACTCTGTAATCTAGCAAATTCACTAATCCGGAACACTACAGGTCCCAATGATGCTAGATTAGTGATGGCCGACCTTTACCTTGGATCAAGAGCCCCTCACCAGCATCAAGGAACCTCCCTTGAAAGCATCCTGGGGGGTAGGGGGTAAATTAAAGGGCTATAATGAAAATAAGACACAGTCCTTGATAAGACACTGACTTTATTGTGTTATCCTGGGTTACCAACCCTCCCCCTGGCCCCTGGGATTACCCTGGGTTACTAAACCTCCCCCTGGGGTTATCCTGGGTTACTAACTCTCCCCCTGGCCCCTGGGATTATCCTGGGTTACTAAACCTCCCCCTGGGGTTATCTTGGGTTACTAACCCTCCCCTGGGATTATCCTGGGTTACAACCTTCCCCCTGGGGTTATCCTGGGTTATTAACCCACCCCCTGGGATTATCCTGGGGTATAAACCTCCCTTGGGATTTATACTGGGGTTTTCTAAGCCCCTCCCTGGGGGTTTCCCTGGGTTACTAAACCTTCCCTTGGGGTGATCCTGGGTTACTAATCTACCCCTTGGGTTATCCTGGGTTACTAACCCTTCCCCTGGGATTACCCTGGGTAACTAAACCTCCCTGGGGGGTTATCTTGGTACCTAATTTTTTGCCCTTGGGGTTATCCTGGGTTACTAACCCAGATGGAATTATCCTGGTGGTTACATCCTCCCGGGGTTTCCTGGTATCTAATTTGCCCCGGGTTTCCTTTAAAATGCATTGTCCCCCTGGGGTTATCCTGGTACCAATTTCCCCCTGGGGGTTATCCTAGGTATTGTTCTACCCTGGGGTTATTCTGGGTTTTCTTAATTCTTCTCCCGGGGTTATCTTGGTAAACTAATTCTTCCCCTGGGGTTATCCCCGGGTATCTAATTCTTCCCTGGGGTTATCCTGAATATGAAAATTGCCCCCTGGGGTTTCCTGGGTATCCAAATTTTCCCCCCCTGGGGGTTATCCTGGGTTTATCTGATTCTTCCCCTGGGGTTATTCTGGTTCTAATTCTTCTCCTGGGGTTATCTTGGGTATTAATTTTTCTCCTGGGGTTACCCTTTGAGTTTTCAAATTTTCTTGCTCTGGGGTTATCCTGATTATCTAATTTTTCCTTTGGGGGGTTATCCTGAGTTTTAATTTTTCCCCCTGGGTTATCCGGGAAATTAATTTTCCCCCGGGGGTTTAAACCCTGGGTTACCCAATTTCCCCTCCCCCTGGGGGTATCCTGGTATCTAATTTTTTCCCCCTGGGGTTTTTCTGGGTACTAATTCTTCCCCCGGGGGGTTTTTATCTTGGGTATTTTAAATTCTTCCCCGGGGGTTTACCCTGGGTATCTAATTCTTCCCCGGGGGTTTAAACCTGAGTACAGTTACCCCCTAATTCTTGCCCGGGGTTTACCCTGATTATCTAATTTTCCCCGGGGGGTTATTTCCTGGGTATCTTTTCCCTTCCCTGGGGTTATCCTAAACTATCAATTCTTCCCCTCGGGGGTTTTACCCGGGACTATCAAAATTTTTTCCTCGGGGGTTTATCCTGATTTTCGTTTTTCCCCTGGTGTTACCCCTGGGTATCAAAATTCCCCCCGGGGGGGTTTTTTTCCGGGTTTTTACAAACCCCCTCCCTTCTGGGGTTATTTTGATAATTTACACACACACCCCAACACAACACACTACTATGTATGATAATTATACTTAGCTTCCTCAAACCTTTAATAAATTTCTATTTAAAAGGCATAACAAAAAATTCTTTGTATATGGAACGGGTGCAATTTTTGGGATGATTACAAATTGACTTTTAAAATCAAAAAATTATGCGTTAAACTTAAAAAGGGGGGTTAAAAAACAAGAGTAACAGGGGTTTGGGGGTCAAAGGGGATTTACTGTTTTTTTCCATTAGGGGTATTGCCCGTGCGACTGAGTTTATTTAACCCGTAAACGGCCCCAAATTGTATAAAAATTTTTTTTTTCAAAAATTTAAAAATTTTGAAAAAAAAAAGTAGTTTTTTTCTTTTTGTTTTTTACATTTAAAAAATTTTTAAAAAAATTTTAAATCTACTTTTTTTTTGTTACATTTTGAAAATATGTAAATTAAAAAAGTAAATCTACTTTTGTAGCCTACACTTTGAACGTAGATCTGCTTTGGAATTTTACGGGTTTTGGTAGAGGTACACTATGTACAGGGTTTTATACATAGCGTAAAACACCTAGGGTAACTCCAAAAAAAAAAATCAAAGTGACTTATTCCATTGGTTAAGTAAAATGATAATGAAAATAATTTAAAATATAAAAGGGAGAAACAAAAGGGGGGTTTTGGGGGGCAATGCCCCCGTGGCCCGGTTTGTGAACAGGCCTCATAAGTAAAGTTTAAAAATGTAAGTAAAAATAAGAATGTAAATTAAAATAAGAAAGTAAATAAAAGGGAAGAAAGTAAAAATAAAGTAAGGGAAAGTAAAATGTAAGTTAAAATAAGAATTAAGTAAAATAGGTAAAGTAAAAAAATGTAAGTAAATTTAAATAAATAAGGAAAAGAAGGGAAAGTTTAAAATGTAAGTAAATTTAAAAATGTAAGGAAAGTAAGAATGTAAGTAAAGTAAGAATGTAAAGTAAAGTAAGAATGGGAAAGGGAAAAATAAAAATGGAAGTAAAATAAGGGGAAAGTAAGGGAAAGTAAGAATTTTAATTTAAAAAAGTAAAGCAAAAAAAGTAAGTAAAATTTAAAAATGGGAAGTAAAGTAAGTAAATTTAAAAATGTAAGTAAAAATAAGAATGTAAGTAAAGTAAGGGAAAGGGAAGTAAAGTAAGTAAAGTAAGAATGTAAGTAAAGTAAGAATGTAATTTTTGTAAAAATGTAAGTAAAGTAAGAAGTAAGTAAAGTAAGAATGTAAGTAAAGTAAAAATGTAAGGGAAATAAGGAATTTTAAGTAAAAAAAATAAAATAAAATGTAATTAAAATAAGTAAAAGGGAAAAAATTAAGTAAAGTAAGTAAAGTTAAAAAATGAAGTAAGTTTATTTAAGTACAGAAAACACATATATAGTTAAAAAAAAATTATCATAAATTTGTAAAAATATGTGTAAATTACCTAAATTTTAAATTTGTGCAAATGTTTTTAGTGTACACCTGTACAGTGACATAATATTAGTGTTTCACCCGTTTCAGTGACATAACTATTAATGTACATGTAAAAGGGGACATAATATTGTGTACACCTGTACAGTGACTTTCCCATTTTGTGTACACCTGTACCCTTTACCCTAACTATTAATGTACAACCCGTTTCAGTGAAATAACTATTAGGTATTAACCCTGTACAGTGCAAAAAACTATTAGTGTATACCTGTACAGTGAATAACTTAAATTAAAAGTTCACCCGTAAGTGACATTTAAATATTAAAGTACAACCGTACCCGTGACATAACTATTAGTGTACCCTTTTACAGTGACATAAAAATATTAATGTACACCTGTTTAAATGAAAATAAATTTTAAATGACATCTGACAGTGGGCCCTAACTATTAGGTACACCCGTACATGGGCTTTAAATATTAGTGTATCCCCGACAGTGAAATAACTATTTGTGTACACCTGTACAGTGACATAACTATTAGTGTATACCTGTACAGTGACATAACTATTAGTGTACACTTGTACAGTGACATAACTATTAGTGTATACCTGTACAGTGACATAACTATTAGTGTATACCTGTACAGTGACATAACTATTAGTGTACACCTGTACAGTGACATAACTATTAGTGTATACCTGTACAGTGACATAACTATTATGTACACCTGTACAGTGACATAACTATTAGTGTATACCTGTACAGTGACATAACTATTAATGTACACCTGTACAGTGACATAACTATTAGTGTATACCTGTACAGTGACATAACTATTAGTGTATACCTGTACAGTGACATAACTATTAATGTACACCTGTACAGTGACATAACTATTAGTGTATACCTGTACATACATAACTATTAATGTACACCTGTACAGTGACATAACTATTAATGTACACCTGTACAGTGACATAACCATAAATGTACACCTGTACAGTGACATAACCATTAATGTACACCTGTACAGTGACATAACCATTAATGTACACCTGTACAGTGACATAACTATTAATGTACACCTGTACAGTAATGTAACTATTAATGTGCACCTGTACAGTGAAGTAACTGTACTAAAGTACACCTGTACAGTGAGGTAACTGTACTAAGGTACACCTGTACAGTGAAGTAACTGTACTAAGGTACACCTGTACAGTGAAGTAACTGTACTAAAGTACACCTGTACAGTGAGGTAACTGTACTAAGGTACACCTGTAGAGTGAGGTAACTGTACTAAGGTACACCTGTACAGTGAGGTAACTGTACTAAGGTACACCTGTACAGTGAAGTAACTGTACTAAGGTACACCTGTACAGTGAGGTAACTGTACTAAAGTACACCTGTACAGTGAGGTAACTGTACTAAGGTACACCTGTAGAGTGAGGTAACTGTACTAAGTACACCTGTACAGTGAGGTAACTGTACTAAGGTACACCTGTAAAGGGGAGGTAACTGTACTAAGGTACACCTGTACAGTGAGGTAACTGTACTAAGGTACACCTGACAGTGAGGTAACTGTACTAAAGTACACCTGTAGAGTGAGGTAACTGTACTAAGGTACACCTGTACAGTGAGGTAACTGTACTAAGGTACACCTGTAGAGTGAGGTAACTGTACTAAGGTACACCTGTACAGTGAGTAACTGTACTAAGGTACACCTGTACAGTGAAGTAACTGTACTAAGGTAAAACCTGTACAGTGAGGTAACTGTACTAAAGTACACCTGTACATGAGGTAACTGTACTAAGTACACCTGTACAGTGAAGTAACTGTACTAAGGTACACCGTACAGTGAGTAACTGTACTAAGGTACACCTGTACAGTGAAGTAACTGTACTAAAGTACACCTGTACAGTGAGGTAACTGTACTAAGGTACACCTTACAGTGAAGTAACTGTACTAAAGTACACCGTACAGTGAAGTAACTGTACTAAGTACACCTGTACAGTGAAGTAACTGTACTAAGGTACACCTGTACAGTGAGTAACTGTACTAAGGTACACCTGTACAGTGAAGTAACTGTACTAAGGTACACCTGTACAGTGAGGTAACTGTACTAAAGTACACCTGTACAGTGAGGTAACTGTACTAAGTTACACCTTAGAGTGAGGTAACTGTACTAAGGTACACCTGTACAGTGAAGTAACTGTACTAAGGTACACCTGTACAGTGAGGTAACTGTACTAAAGTACACCTGTACAGTGAGGTAACTGTACTAAGGTACACCTGTAGAGTGAGGTAACTGTACTAAGGTACACCTGTACAGTGAGGTAACTGTACTAAGGTACACCTGTAGAGTGAGGTAACTGTACTAAGGTACACCTGTAGAGTGAGGTAACTGTACTAAGGTACACCTGTACAGTGAGGTAACTGTACTAAGGTACACCTGTAGAGTGAGGTAACTGTACTAAGGTACACCTGTACAGTGAGGTAACTGTACTAAGGTACACCTGTACAGTGAGGTAACTGTACTAAGGTACACCTGTACAGTGAAGTAACTGTACTAAGGTACACCTGTACAGTGAGGTAACTGTACTAAGGTACACCTGTACAGTGAAGTAACTGTACTAAAGTACACCTGTACAGTGAGGTAACTGTACTAAGGTACACCTGTACAGTGAAGTAACTGTACTAAGGTACACCTGTACAGTGAAGTAACTGTACTAAGGTACACCTGTAGAGTGAGGTAACTGTACTAAGGTACACCTGTACAGTGAGGAAAACTGTACTAAGGTACACCTGTACAGTGAGGTAACTGTACTAAGGTACACCTGTACAGTGAAGTAACTGTACTAAGGTACACCTGTACAGTGAGGTAACTGTACTAAGGTACACCTGTACAGTGAGGTAACTGTACTAAGGTACACCTGTAGTGAGTTATATCATACCTGGTACCATAACCAGCTGCTAGAATAACAGCTCGCATGATGCCGTGGCTGCTCACTACAACTATTACCGTATAATCCAGCTATTATACCCAAAGACCAATCTATAAACTAGTATGGGTCGTGCCACAAGACATGACGGGAGCTACCAAGATTGTTTTTGTTTTTGTTAGGTTTATAGGGCCACTGACAGATTATGCCGTATCGAACCCGACTTCCCGATGTCCGGGGAAAATTTGTTGCCCGAAGCTGGGCCATGGAAGAAAACGGGAACATGAGTTCCTTTGTAAATATGAATAAGAACTGGAAGTTTCCGATTAAATCAGGACTTCCTTGCCAAGCCCCAGCAGAGTGGGACAACCCACACATTCACCTAAGTTCAGTGGCTGGTGCCCCGTGGCCTGGTGGCAAAAGCACTTGCTTCACACAGTCAGGGTTCGGGTTCGATTCCCGGGGAAGGGGTGAAAACATTGGGCGTGTTTCCTTACACTGGTTGTCTATGTTCACCAATCAGTAAAATGGGTACGTGAGTGTTAGTGGACTGGAGTGAGTCGCATCCTGGGACAAAACTGACCTAATTTGAGGGAAATGCTCTGCACAACAAGAGGCTTTCTGTTTAGTAGTATGTCATTGACGTCAGTTATGGTCTGTATACCTTGTACATGTACTTGTAGATATAAAGATATTATTGTTATTACCACATCATTTATAACCCAAAATATTTGCGAAATTTTTTCTAGTAGGGTGGGAATGACTAGCTTTGAGAAGGACCTGCCGTGTTTGGGCCAGTACACCTGCAGCAGTTTGTAGATGAATGGTTCAGAGAACCGACATGTTGATAAATTAGACACATGTGCAACTCTTGGGTATCTTTATCGAGGAAACGTTTCGCCACGCAGTGGCTTCATCAGTCCATACAAAGGAGAATCTTGAAGAACAGGAGGAGAATGAGGTAATCAGTCCCTCAACCTTGAGTCGATGTGGTCAGTCCATCAATCTTGAATAGAATACGGCATACGTGCTGAGAAGGAGCTATAAACCGTTGGCAGGAGAGGTGCAGAAGTCATAGGTCGTGTAACATTTGTTCAATGTTGAAGTAGGTCGTGCCCAAGAATTAGGCAAGCGAAGAATTCCCAAGTATTAAGATCCCAAGAAGTTGCAGTGTCTGACAGGTTTGTAGATGAATGGTTCAGAGAACCGACATGTTGATAAATTAGACACATGTGCAACTCTTGGGTATCTTTATTGAGGAAACGTTTCGCCACGCAGTGGCTTCATCAGTCCACACAAAGGAGAATCTTGAAGAACAGGAGGAGAATGAGGTAATCAGTCAGACACTGTCAGACACTGCAACTTCTTGGGATCTTAATACTTGGGAATTCTTCGCTTGCCTAATTCTTGGGCACGACGTACTTCAACATTGAACAAATGTTACACGACCTATGACTTCTGCACCTCTCCTGCCAACGGTTTATAGCTCCTTCTCAGCACGTATGCCGTATTCTATTCAAGATTGATGGACTGACCACATCGACTCAAGGTTGAGGGACTGATTACCTCATTCTCCTCCTGTTCTTCAAGATTCTCCTTTGTGATGAATGGTTTGAAAAACCGACAAGTTGAAGATTGAGATACTTATGCAGCATATGGGAATCTTTATTCAGGAAACGTTTCGCCACACAGTGGCTTCATCAGTCCAATACAAAGAGGAAGGCGTAAGGAGAGGAGGAGAATGAGGTAATCAGTCCCTCAACCTGGAGTCGATGTGTTCAGTCCATCAATCTTGTAGAATGTACAGCATAGGGCCGTAGACGTGGCTTATATACTGTAGTGAGGTGACGTGAAGCAGGTGGAGGCGGGGTCATAGTGGTACCATCCACTAGTCGAAGTAGGTCTTTGTCCAAAGGTTGAACAAGTGTTGAAGAATTCTTTGTAACAAGATCCCATGATGCTGCAGTGTCTGACAGTTGTGATGAATGGTTTGAAAAACCATTGAATTCTTCAACACTTGTTCAACCTTTGGACGAAGACCTACTTCGACTAGTGGATGGTACCACTATGACCCCGCCTCCACCTGCTTCACGTCACCTCACTACAGTATATAAGCCACGTCTATGGCCCTATGCTGTACATTCTACAAGATTGATGGACTGAACACATCGACTCCAGGTTGAGGGACTGATTACCTCATTCTCCTCCTCTCCTTACGCCTTCCTCTTTGTATTGGACTGATGAAGCCACTGTGTGGCGAAACGTTTCCTGAATAAAGATTCCCATATGCTGCATAAGTGTCTCAATCTTCATTCTCCTTTGTATGGACTGATGAAGCCACTGCGTGGCGAAACGTTTCCTCAATAAAGATACCCAAGAGTTGCACATGTGTCTAATTTATCAACATGTCGGTTCTCTGAACCATTCATCTACAAACCTGTCAGACACTGCAACTTCTTGGGATCTTAATACTTGGGAATTCTTCGCTTGCCTAATTCTTGGGCACGACCTACTTCAACATTGAACAAATGTTACCTGGAGTTTACCTGGAGAGAGTTCCGGGGGTCAACGCCCCCGCGGCCCGGTCTGAGACCAGGCCTCCTGGTGGATCAGAGCCTGATCAACCAGGCTGTTGCTGCTGGCTGCACGCAAACCAACATACGAGCCACAGCCCGGCTGATCCGGAACTGACTTTAGGTGCTTGTCCAGTGCCAGCTTGAAGACTGCCAGGGGTCTGTTGGTAATCCCCCTTATGTGTGCTGGGAGGCAGTTGAACAGTCTCGGGCCCCTGACACTTATTGTATGGTCTCTTAACGTGCTAGTGACACCCCTGCTTTTCATTGGGGGGATGGTGCATCGTCTGCCAAGTCTTTTGCTTTCGTAGTGGGTGATTTTCGTGTGCAAGTTCGGTACTAGTCCCTCTAGGATTTTCCAGGTGTATATAATCATGTATCTCTCCCTCCTGCGTTCCAGGGAATACAGGTTTAGGAACCTCAAGCGCTCCCAATAATTGAGGTGTTTTATCTCCGTTATGCGTTATCCGTTACACGACCTATGACTTCTGCACCTCTCCTGCCAACGGTTTATAGCTCCTTCTCAGCACGTATGCCGTATTCTATTCAAGATTGATGGACTGACCACATCGACTCAAGGTTGAGGGACTGATTACCTCACTCTCCTCCTGTTCTTCAAGATTCTCCTTTGTATGGACTGATGAAGCCACTGCGTGGCGATACGTTTCCTCAATAAAGATACCCAAGAGTTGCACATGTGTCTAATTTATCACCTGCAGCAGTGTTGTGTGGGCCAGTAAGCCTGCAGCAGTGTTGCGTGCGCCAGTAGGCCTGAAGCAGTGTTGTGTGGGGCAGTGGGCCAGCAGCAGTGTTGTGTGGGCCAGTAGGCCTGCAGCAGTGTTGTGTGGGGCAAAAGGCCTGCAGCAGTGTTGTGTGGGCCAGTAGGCCTGCAGCAGTGTTGTGTGGACCAATAGACCTGCAGCAGTGTTGTGTGGGCCAGTAGACCTGCAGCAGTGTTGTGTGGGGCAGTAGACCTGCAGCAGTGTTGTGTGGGCCAGTAGACCTGCAGCAGTGTTGTGTGGGCCAGTAGACCTGCAGCAGTGTTGTGTGGGGCAGTGGGCCTGCAGCAGTGTTGTGTGGGCCAGTAGACCTGCAGCAGTGTTTTGTGGGCCAGTAGACCTGTAGCAGTGTTAAGAACATAAGAACATAAGAACGAAGGAACACTGCAGAAGGCCTACGGGCCCCATGCGAGGCAGGTCCAAGTCTCCTACCGGCTTAAGCAATGCACCCAACCTAGTCAGGTCAGGTCACATTGACTTAAGGGAGGAACACGGCAACCGACCTGTTAGCACAAGCTATCAGGTCTAAACTCACACCCCCCACATCTACTCATGTATTTATCCAACCCATTTTTAAGCTACACAACGTTCTGGCCTCTATAACGGTACTTGGGAGTTTGTTCCACTCTTTCCCCAACTCTATTACCAAACAGTACTTTCCTATATCCTTCCTGAATCTGAATTTTTCCAACTTAAAAACCCTTGCTGCGAGTCCGGGCTAGGCTAGATATTTTCAGCACACTATTTACATCCCCTTATTTATTCCTGCTTCCATTTATACACCTCAATCATATCCCCCCTAATTCTACGTCTTTTAGAGAGTGCAGTTTCAGGGCCCTTAGTCTATCCTCATAGGGAAGGTTTCTGTACATGGGATCATCTTTTGTCATTTCCCCCTTTGTACATTTTCCAGAGAATTTATATCCATTCTGTAATACGGTGACCAAAACTGTGCAAACATAAACTAAATGAGGCCTAACAAGGATGTATGAGTTGAAGAACAACCTGAGGACTCCTATTATTTATGTTTCTTGATATGAGCCGAGGATTCTATTAGCTTTATTGCGAACACTTATGCATGTTGTCTTGGTTTCAGATTTTTGCTAACCCGAACTCCTAAATCTTTTTCGCAATCCGTAATATTAAGATCTACATTATTTAGTTTATATGTGGCATGGTTATTGTCCTGTCCAACATTTTGAACTTTGCATTTGTCCATATTAAACTGCATCTGCCACTTCTCCGACCCCTGCATCAGTCTATTCAAATCTTCCTGGAGTGCTCGAATGTCCTCGTCAGAATGAATTCGACGGCCCATTTTGGTGTCATCGGCAAACTTGCCCATTTTCGCTCTTTATGCCCTCATCTATGTCGTTTATGTAGATTGTGAACAGCAGGGGGCCAACACTGACCCCCGTGGAAACACCGCTCGTGACGCTTCCCGACTCTGATTTCTCCCCATTTATGCAAACTCTCTGCTGCCTATTGTCAACCATGCCTCTATCCAGGAA